TGAGGCAGCAGGATCACTTCAGCCCAGGGGTTTGAGGTTGCTGTGAGCGAGGCTGACGCCTCGGCACTCACTCTAGCCTGGGCAACAAAGGGAGACTCTGAATCAAAAAAAAAAAAAAGAAAAAACTAAAGGTAATTTTTATTACATTATTTATATATTGATATGATTCTTACACAAAATGAGAAAGCTGTAATCCAGCCTTCTGAAGCAAAGAAAAGCCTTACATTTCTAAATAAAGAAAAATATGAATTTTTTAAATATGGTGAGTCACTGATATATAAAATAAACAACTGGAAATCATATTATCGTTTAGATAAAGTTTGAGGAAAATGGATTAAAATCCTAATAATTCCTTTATGCCTGCCATAAACTTAAATTTACAAGAGAACTTTTTATTTAATATGGAGTAACTACTAATTACCTAACTTCTACACATGTAAATTCTAGCATAATGTTGGGAATGTTTGAATCTAAAATTACAGAAAAATCTGAAATAGAACAAAATAGACAGTGAAAATGTATAGGGAAGGTTACATCAGCAAGATGGTGGAATAGGAGGTCCCTTACTTGTATATCCCCCATAAAAACAATATTTTTGGTAGCTATTCATGGACAAAAGTGCCTCTATGAGAGAGACAAGCACCATAGCTCATTTCTGTAATCACAGCTACTCAGGAGGCTGAGGTGGGAGATGCTCTTTAGGCAAGTAGTTCAAGACCAACCTGGGTAATACAAGATCCCATCTCAAGAAAATGTGTTATTATGAGAGATTTGTAATCCAGGAATGGGGCTGTGAAACCCTGCTAATTCCCAAAACAATGGAGGGTCATTTTAAGAAGGCAGGCCCTCATTTAGGTGGCAATCTTTTTTTTTTTTTTTTGAGACAGAGTCTCGCTTTGTGCCCAGGCTAGAGTGAGTGCCGTGCGTCAGCCTAGCTCACAGCACCTCAACTCCTGGGCTTCAGTGAATCCTTCTGCCTCAGACTTCCCAGTAGCTGGGACTACAGGCATGGGCACAATGCCTGCTAATTTTTTCTATATATATTAGTTGGCCAATTAATTTCTTTCTATTGATAGTAGAGATGGGGTCTTGCTCTTGCTCAGGCTGGTTTCGAACTCTTGACCTTGAGCAATCCGCCCGCCTCAGCCTCCCAGAGTGCTAGGATTACAGGCGTGAGCCACCGCGCCCGGCCGATGATTCAGTTTTATATATAGAAAATTATAAATAGTACATCAAAAATTGTTTATTCTAGTAAATGCACTTAGTAAATTAGGAGAACATTAAATGAATATACAAATCAGTTCTTTCCATACAGTAATAAGAAAATACCCAACAAAAAAGAAAACAATTTGAATTCTAATAGCATCAGAACAACAAATTGCTTAGCAATAAATTTTTTTTTTTTTTTTTTTTTGAGACAGAGTCTCACTTTCTTGCCCAGGCTAGAGTGAGTGCCGTGGCGTCAGCCTGGCTCACAGCAACCTCAATCTCCTGGGCTCAGCGATGCTAACTGCCTCAGCTCCGCTAGTAGCTGGGACTACAGGCATTGCGCACCGATGGCCTGGCTAATTTTTTTGTATATATATTTTTAGTTGAGGTCAATTATTCCGTGTTGCTATATTCTTGCGAAGAGACCGGGGTCTGCTCAGGCTGGTTGTTGACACTCATGACCTCGGGCAATCCGCCCGCCTCGGACCTCCCAGAGTGCTAGGATTCAGCTGGAGCGACGGCGCCCCAAGCAATAATTTAATCAGGAAGGAAGGTCTGTTACCTTAAAAATATATATTGATGAAAGAAATTAAAGATGACCCAGATAAATATAAAGATTTCCCATGTATATGGATTGGGCGAATAAATATTGTTAAGGTTCCATATCATCCAAAGCATTCCTGATATTCAGTTGGATCTCCATCAAAATGCCAGTGGTATTTTTCACAGTAATAGAAAATATAATCCTAAAATCGTGATATAAAACTGAAAGAGACTTTGAATAGCCAAAGCAATCTTGAAAAACAAAACTGGGGACCATCATACTTTCTGATAATCAAACTACTCCTCAAAACTATATTTAATAAAACCCGGATGATATGTGCATACTAGTTGATGAAAAAAACAATAGAAGAGACTAGGGAGCTAAGAAATAAACCTATGCATAAAAGACCAAACTAATCTTTGAGAAACTCACCAACCATACACAATGCACAAATTATAGTCTTCCGAATACTTGGTGTTGAGAAAACTGGATACTCCGAAACAAAAGAATAATATCAGATGTTTTTTTCTGCTAGGATTACAGACGTGAGCCACCACGTCCGGCCGGGCACTCGCGTTTTCAAAGCTGTCTGTCTGTTTCTCTGGGCTGTCCCAGGTGCCCCTCTGCACCGCAGGGGCACCCCTTGGATGTCTAGGTTGGCAGCCTGGCCCACACCTGCGTCAGGCCTCTCAGAGGGACGCTTCTGCCACTGTTAGAGAAAACGTCACAGGGGAGAAGTCTGACGCCGGCTTCTCACAGTCTGGAAGCTCAGCCACACAGGGAGGAGACCCCCTAAGCTGCTTTGGGGCCACATCCACCACTTCTCTGACTCCCACCCAGGCTGGTTGCCAGGACTTGGGTGTCCAACCCTGGACCTCTCGGCCATAATTGACATAGGCCAGCAGGACCCAAAGTGCCCTGTGATCCTGATTCCCCTTCTCAGGTCACCCACTTGGAGAAGCCAAAGACCCTCCGCTGTTGCTGTCTCCAGTTCTCCCTCTTCTCCCTGAAGCTGGCCTCCAAGGCCACAGAGGAGGGGATCCTCTCAGGTGGGAATGTAAGAAGTCACGATGTCTTCTGGCCTCTGGCTCCACCCGTCCCCCAATCCGCTCTGAACCCAGCTCTACCAGGTCCTTTATCCGGTCTCCTGGATGGAGGCATCGCAGGCACTGTCAGCAGAAATGAAGGATGGGGGAGAAGGACCCTGGCTCTCTTAGCATGGAGACCTACGGAATAAAGAAGTTGCACCTGTACTCTGCCTCCCTGAAGTCCCTCCCTGCCACAAGGACACCCACGTTCCTCTGCCTCATCTGGGCTCTCTGGGGCTTCCTCTGCACGAGGCCAACTCGGAGATCCACACCTGCCTGGGAGAGAGACAAGGAGGGAGACTATCCTCCACTTGCCGGGATTCACCCCAGCCCCACTGACCTTGGACCATGAATAACTGACCTGAGTCAGCTGGTACGATTCTACTGCCACCTCCAGGCCGCTTGGTTCCAGATTCGCTGCTCCCTCTAACACTCACCTATGTGTCACCTTGGGCATGCAGCCTGGCCTCCCTGAGACTGTTCCTCACTGTTCCCATGGGAACCACACCTGCCTCACAGAACTCAGTGTCAAATAACTTCCCTCATTGTTTCCACCACCATCCCTCTGAGGAAGAGCCAGGCACAAACACCCTGAGATTTCGAACCTCCCTTGACCCACATCGGAACCCGGTGAGGCCTGTACAACAGGCTCCTCGCTCCTACATTTTCCAGATGAGAAAACACAGGCGCAAAGTGGGAGGCGGCTGGCTCCTTCTCCCACCTGGCAGCCCTGTCCCAGCTGCCTCCACCCCACACCCGGCACCACCACTGACCAGGGTCCCACCTCCTCGGGTCTCTATGCTTGTCTACCAGCATAGAGTTCCCCAACCAAGCCTGGCCATGATGGGAGGGGACAGGGTAAAATGGGAGGCCTGGTTGAGTGGCTCCTGCCTGCCCAGCCACACTGGAGTCTCTGTCCACAAGACAGCATTGTAAAGGCTTCTCAATCCTAAGAAGGGAGCTCGCACAGAACTGCCTCTTCCGCCACCCAAGCCACTGGGACAGGGTCACAGATAGGCAGGTTATTCTCAGGGTAACTGGCGGTGACACTTTGCTTCCTCATTTACGTGGAAGGCGTTGAGGTCTGGCCAGGAATGATGCACTAGGAATGAACAAGTCCCCAGACCCTTCTCATAAGCCACATGGAACACATGTGGCTGCTAACTGAGCCCTGGGCTCAGAATCCTGACTGTGATGGGCAGTGTCTGCAAAGGGGCAGAGTGGGGAGGCACAGCCAACACGTGTCTGTCCCAACTAAGTGCACTGGCATGAAAAGCTGGGCCACCTGTCTGCACACCTGGCTGGTGGGATTCAGCTGCCATCCACATCTCTACTCCAGCCAGCAATCCTCGCCCCCTGCAGTGCAGACAGGTGCTGCAGAAGGGGCTTGGCTTCTTGGGGAATGGTTGGGCTACTTTGGAGTGGGAATTAAGCCCCTCTACCACATCTACCCAAGATCCTGGGAAAGCTCCTTGCCAATACGGTGGACCAGCATTGCAGCCAGAGACCCATGAATTCTGCAGTTCATCATCACCCTGCTTGACAGCCCAGCTGCCATCGCCACAAACCGTCACCAGGCCCTCCTTTCTAAACGCTTTTGTCCATGGACAAACACATCTCTGTTAGCCCAGATTAGACACGACTGGTTACTCCTATTTTTAAAGTAAACTTTCAGTGAGGTAAAACAGACACTCCTGACCCAGTCTTCTTCCAACCCTGCTATTTTCTTTGTCCCTGCCCCCAAATACTTTCTCTCCATCTCCTGGCCTCCACGTTTTCTTAATAAGCTGACGTTGCTTAATGTATTTTCTCTTGTGAAAATTTTTAAATTTTCTGGATATTTTTCTAAGGAGAAGGAAAAATTTGGGCATAATTGGGACTTGTGCGAGTTCAGTAAATATGAGAATATTAAATATGAGAACCAAAGAGATTCAAACTGCCTGGTTGAGAGTTTCCACTGATCTTCAGAACATTAAGGGTCCCATGGACTGGACAGGGAATTTTGAGGAGGCTAAAGTACCTCCCCTTGGGTGCTCATACGCCATGTGGGCTTGTGATTAACTCCTGTTCTGGGAATGCCTTTACTGTTCCTTGTGTAAGAGTACATACTAGGATAAATTTTGCCCTTAGGTAAAAAACAACCTTGATTTATCACAGAAATCACAAGCTGTGAAGCCCACGGCATCGGTATTTTTGTCTTCTCCTGGAAGGTCCACTTTAACCGTTCTGCACATTAACAGGTATACCCTTTTTCTAAATGGTATACAGGCCCCATATCTGCAGGGCAAGAGCATGGAGCCCCACCTGTGTTGTTGCTACCCATGACTATGCACCTGCCCATAAATTCACCACTCAGTCACCCTCTAGAGACAAATTGGATTTATCTGTCTCTTTCTTTGGTTTCTTGGCTCCTTCTGCATTTGGGCCTCACTTTGTATGTATGGACAAGTGGCAAGTGGCAAGACAGCCAGTACCAGTCCATTAACCAAAGTATGGGCAAGAGGAAGAAATTACAGGAGTGGAAATTCTGGGGTGTTACTCCTGATCTATTTGGGGTGGTGGTGCCCATTTGTGACATGCACATGGACTGAGTGAGTACAGGAATGCCCCTAACCTGTAAGGACTAGAGAACTCATTAGGAGAGAACCACATTACACCCTGGAGTGATGAAAATCACCATGAGGTATTAACAGTGGATTGGCCATTACTAGGAGCTTTGCCAGTTGTTACAGAAGACAGATATCAGCTGAGATGAAGGTGCAAAAGCTAGATGAAGAATTACAGTTAGAAATGTATATGAAAACCTCCACATTTGTGTCAGCAGTTAGCTTTGTGGATAAGTTTGAAACTCAGAAGATGCAGTTGGAAACTCAATTCTGGTGTTTTGTGCAGCTTGAAGGGTGGAAGACCCACCAGGCTAAAGTGTGAGCCTGTGACAGTCCACGGATGTTCAACAATTTGAAGGACCAGAAAATCAAATAGTTACTCCAACTGAAGAGGGGGCAAGTGAAAAAGACAGAATTTACATGGGGAGAGTCTGCACCCTGGAGACATGAGATCTGCAAGAAATAAATTTAACCTAGAAACTAAGTTTGCTTTGAGAAATTGTGAGGTCTAGTTGGCTTGTCAACCATGAAATCATCTGAACTTATCTGTTTGGATCTACTTCCCAATTGCTACTATAGACAGGTACACACATGTATTTCTTCCTTTATAGCTCTTACAGAGTTAATTTTTAGCTTAATATATTGTATATTGCATTAAATGTAAATCTAAACAAAACATCTGTGTTCAGATGGACCAGAAAAGGCCATGTACAAAGACAAAGTGTGTATGAAAATTTATGAATAATGATTCAAGATTTAAAGGTAAGGAATTGAATTATACTCTCATATAATTTTTTTATTTTTTTCTTTTGAGACAGTCTCAGTCTGTTGCCAGGGTAGAGTTAGTGCCGTAGTGTCAGCCTAGCTCACAGCAACCTCAAACTCCTGGGCTCAAGTGATCCTCCTTCCTCAGCCTCCCTAGTGGCTGGGACAATAGGAATGTGCCACCTTGCCTGGCTAATTTTTTTTTCTATATATATTAGTTGGCCAATTAATTTCTTCCTATTTATAGTAGAGATGGGTTCTCACTCTTCTGCAGACTGGTTATGAACTCCTGACCCCGAGCGATCCACCCGCCTCAGCCTCCCACAGTGCTAGGATTACAACCGTGAACAAACGTGCCCTGCCTATACTCCCATATAATCTTTATTGTAAGCATATCAACAACCCCAAAACTACAAAAAAAGGAGGACACTATAGTAACTATGAAAACATTCTGAAATTACTGAAAGTTTTGTTCCTCAGAATATAGGGATTAATAAAAGTTATTCCATTGTGTTGCCCAAATAGCACATTATTTTCATTTGTTAACTACAATTGTAGACAAGATAGTTTAACATTTGTTGCAGAACAGTATTTTATTCATTGCACATCAGTGTAAAATCATTAAGAACAATTGAATATTATTAATCAAAACAAATTAATTAAAACATAGCCTAAAGCATTTTAAAACTCACTAAATGCTCCTTGGTCACAAGCACACAAGAAACATTATTTTTGTTCTAATATAGTGATGTTACAGTTATACTTAAGGAGCAACTGGAAATATATTTTGAAAATTTAGAAAGTTTCTTTAATACAGAATGAAAAACCTGATTAGATAGTTTGTATTTACATGTATTATTGTTTTATAATTCAAACACAAAAAAAACCTCTTTAGATTTTCTTAATGTGCTTTACATTTGTCATTAAACATTTATGGAAAATTGGTATTAATCAAATTGTCCTAATATTGAATAGCCTCTCTCAGCTCTGATGTAGAAACAACAGAATACATATTTTATATAGACATTAGGAATGAAAGGATAACATAAACTGATTTGAAAATTGAACTACATCAATATTTACCTTTGAAAAATTTCCAATACTGTCAATACAAATTATCCATTAATTATAACTATACCTGTCCAAACATGAGTGTTCTTGTTCTTTTGAACAACATGAGCAGATAAATTATGTAACTGCTTCAACTTTACATTCTCTACAATACTCTGAGTTAGTGTAAAATCTGAAAGTGTGCTTTAGTTTTTACCTGTGTGAATCCACTGAGGTAGTTAGATGTAAGTTTAAATACTTCTACACATTTATTGCACCTGTAAAATTTCTTTCCCTATGGACACTCTGATAACTTCCAAGTTGTGTATTTATTATAAAATCCTTTTCACATGTATTATATCTATAGTTTCCGTGGTATGAATTCTCTGATGTTGAGTAAGTTGTGATTTACGCGTAAAGGCTTTGCCACATTCTTCACATTCGTAGGGTTTTTCTCTAGCATGAATTCTCTAATGTTGAATAAGTAGTGAACTACGAGTAAAGGATTTACCAGATTCATTACATTTGTAGGGTTTCTCTACATTGTGAATTCTCTCATGTCGCCTGAGACTTGAAAGCCGAGCAGACACTTTGCCACATTCTTTGCATTTGTAGGGCTTCTCTCCGGTATGAATTCTCTGATGTTGAGTAAAGTATGAACGATGTCTAAAGGATTTACCACATTCTTTACATTTGTAGGGTTTTTCTCCAGTATGAATTCTCTGATGTTCAGTAAGTTGTGAACTATGGGTAAAGGATTTAGCACATTCTTCACATTTGTGTGCTTTTTCACCAGTATGAATTAACTGATGTCGTCTAAGTTGTGAAAGCTGAGGAAAGGCTTTTCCACATTCTTCACATGTGTAGGGTTTCTCTCCGGTATGAATTCTCTGATGTTGAGTAAAGTATGACCGATGTCTAAAGGATTTACCACATTCATTACATTTGTAGGGTTTCTCTCCACTGTGAATCATCTGATGTTGCCTAAGATGTGAAAGCTGAGTAAACGCTTTGCCGCATTCTTTGCATTTGTAGGGCTTGGCTCCAGTATGAACTGCCTGATGAAATCTAAAGCTTCCCACCCACATAAAGGCTTTGCCACATTCTTTACATTTGTAGGGTTTTTCTCCAGTATGAATTCTCTGATGTTCAGTAAGTTGTGAACTCTGTGTAAAGGATTTATCACATTCTTTACATTTGTAGGGTTTCTCTCCAGTATGAATTACCTGATGTTTTCTAAGGCTTGCTGGAACGATAAAAGCTTTGCCACACTCTTCACATTTGTAGGGTTTTTCTCCAGTATGAACTACCTGATGCAATCTAAGGCTTTCCAACCAGGTAAAGAATAAGCCACATTCTTCACATTTGTAAGGTTTTTCTCCAGTATGAATTTTCTGATGCAGTCTAAGAGTTGAAAACCTAGTAAAGGCTTTGCCACATCCTTTACATTTGTAAGGTTTCTCTCCAGTATGAACTGTCTCATGTCTAGTAAGGCGTGAAAGATAGTCGAAGGACTTACCACAATTTTTACATTTGTGGGGTTTTTCTTCCGTATGAACCACCGGATGTATCCCAGGGCTTGCAGAGTGGGTATAAGGTTTGCCACATTCTTCCAATTTATAGGCCTGTTCTCTAGCATGGATTATTTGGTGTTCTTGAAGAAATGAAAACTGAGTAAAGGCTTTGCCACATTCTTCACATTTGTAAGATTTTTCCTCAGTACAAATTTTCTCATATTTAAGCTGTGAACTCTGGTTAATGGTTTTGCCACATTCTTCAGGTTTGTAGAGGTTTTCTTCAGTATCAATTGTGTCACATGTTCTTACGTTGGACGACTGACTGAAGACTTTCACACCTTTATAATGCCTGTATGAAGTTTCTCCAAAACGAATTCCCTGCTTTTGAGAATGCTTTCCCGACTGGGCAAAAGCTTCTACACGTTCATTACATTTGTAGGAATAGTCTTGAATATGGGTATCCTCATGGCTAATAAGCTTGAAACGTTGGTGACAGACTTCCTTATATTTCTTAGATTTGTACTGGATCTCTGGATATTGAGCTTTCTTACATTTACTAGAGAATGTGACTTGGTTCAAAGTTTTTTCAGGTTTCTTGCATTGATATGTTCTCTTGTCAATATGAATACCCTGGTAATTATTTAGAGTTGAGTTCTGGATAAAGGACATCAAACTTTTACTAGACGTGTACTGTTTTTCCGAATTATCTATTCCCTGAGATTGATTAAGCAATGATGACTGCGTACATACTTTACCATACTGATCACAGTTGTTGGTTTTGGTATGTAATGGTATTACTGGTTTGTGGAAGGACAATAAAGTTTTAATGAAGGACTCATGAACTTGGTCAGATTTAGAAATATTCTCTTTAATTTCAAATTTCTGGTCTTCAGAATTAGTCTCTCTGGGGCTTTCAGAAGACTGGTTATTATTTCCTTTAATAAGTAGTCCTAAAAAGAAATGCAGATATAGTGTAAATGACATGCTGAGTTCACTGAGAAAAAAAAGTGAATAACTACTACAGCAACAGAAAGACTGCAGAACATACAGAATTCATCATGGAACGTAAAGCTTAAGGGCTTTTAACAGGAAATAGGCAAAGCTTTTTAGTGGGAAAATATACAGAGTACTTCAGATAAAACACATACTGCCAACAGTTTGGACAAGTATCCTAAATGTCTAGTGAGGCTGGATGCTGCTAAATTCCCCCTGAACAAAGCCATCATCTAAAGCAGGCATCCTCAAACTACAGCCTGCAGGCCACCTAGCACATTTATCTGGCCCTCCAAGTGTTTTTGCCGTGGCTGCCTGTCCTGCTTAGCAGCTGACTTGTCCCGGGCCCACAGTGAACACTCTCCAATGGTCTGAGGGACAGCGAACTGGCCACCTGTTTAAAAAGTTTGAGGATCCTTGATCTAAAGGATGGAAGAGGTAGCTGTTTTTAGGTGACCAAAATATTACCAAAAGTGAAAAGACATTAAAGAAACTGAGAAATGTAATCCAATGAAAGGAGAAAAGTATTTAAGTGATCCTAATGTAGTGATGATATATGAAGTAAATCTAAAGGATTTCAAATATCTGTCTTAAAGGTACTCTGCCAGCTAAATGACAACACACAGAACTAAATAAGTGGAAGAAAACAATGCATAAAGAAAGGAGAGTACTAACAAAGAGATTAAAATTTTAAAAAACTAAAAGAAAGTATGCAGCTGAAAAATAAAAATCAAATTTAAATATTCACTGGATTGGGTCAACAGCAGACTTGATAAAAAGGCCATTTGAAATTATAGTCAAGAGAATAAAAATAAAAAAAGAAGAAAAGTGAAGAGAGCCTAAGAGACTTATCAAGCATGCCAAAATATTTATAATGAGAGTCCTATAATGATAGAAAAGAAAAAAATAAGCAGGGAGCAAACCTGAAGTAACAATGTCTGAGAACATTCTAAGGTTGAGGGAGAGTATAGCATAAAATTTAAAGAAGCTCAACCTACTCCACCCAGCAAGAACAGAAAGAGAGCCAAAACAAGACACATTGTCATCAAATATTTAAAAGTTTTAAAGAAAAATCTTGAAATCAAGAAAAATATTACTTGGTATGTACAAGGGCACTCGAATAGGATGATCAATAGATTTTTCAGTAAAAACAAACAAACAAGAAAAAAAACTTGCACAATTTATACCCAAGAGCTATATCCTAAATGAGTTGCCAAAGACAGTCAACCTTTTACATTGAAAACAGAAATAGTATCCACACACAGTTATGGGAATATATAAAGTTCTATGGTGAATGTAATCATACGTATACATATAGTATTTTGTGTTATTATATAGACAGTGAATAAAACACTTTAAATTCTGCTATAGATTTTTAAACAAGCCATAAAATAACCATAAATTCATTAAGGGATACAACACAGAATAGAATATAATTTGTGACATCAAGAGAGTGCAATGTAGAAAGTCAGGGACTTTGTATGCAATGAACGTTTTCAGCTTAAAATAATTTGTTTTAAATCTCACAACTTGGAAGTTATCAGAGCGTCCATAGGGAATTTAAACAAATTTAAAAATTTGTTTAAATTTCTATAATATCTATGGGAACTATGAAAAAATATTTTTAGTAGATACAAAACTCAACTCCTAGGATTAAAAAGAATTATGAAAGTATAGTAGATACACAAAAGGAAATGAGAAAAAAATTAAAACATGTCACTATAAAAAAAAAAACAACCCAAAAACAAAAGACAATGCAAGAGAAGAATAAAAAAGCTATAAGACCTACAAAAACAAAATGGAAGTCATTCTCTTTTAGTATTTATTTTCTATAAAAATGAATTAGTCAATCAAAACACATATTTTTTCTTAATAAATTTAAGAAATAAGGCCTACCTTTATGATTTCTATAAAAGACCCACTCTAAAATGTAAGGAGACACATGGACTGTAAGTAAGAGAATTAAGAAAGGTTATTCAATGCAATGTCAAATAGTGTTACATTGAGAAAATATATTTTACATCGAAAATTGTCACAAGGACAACAAAGGGGATTATATAATAAGATGCCCACCTGATGAAACGCGAAGCTAGCAGTAAATGATACCTACTGTGTGCTACCATTGTATTGAACATATATGCACCTCCATCCACACCCTCCTCCACATATATAAAGCAACCTTTTACAGGAACATAAGCAAGAATTTGACCAGCACACAAATAGGGAGTGAAACTTGATGTTTAACATTATTTAATAATCAAGAAAGGAGAAATTTTTTTACCCCAAAAGAAAAAAAAAACAACAAGGACAACAAATGAAACGGAGACGTCTTGAACACATACAAATCAGATTATACCCTCAACAGTCCCTACTGCGAACAACCATCATATTGATACAGACACACACACTTAACGCCACAAAACAAGTCTCCAACAAATCTAAGTACATAAAAAGTCACAAAACAGTATTGAACTTCTGATAAACTTAGAATAAACACTACTGGAGTAAAAACGCAAAAGGATAGTGATAATGGCCTGGGGCGGCGTGGCTCAACGCCGTGTAATCCTAGCACTCTGGGAGCCAAGGCGGGCCAGACTGGCTCGAGATTAGGAGTTCAAAACCGCAGCTTGAAGAAGCAGCGTAGACACCCTCTCTACTATAACACCACTCAGGGAAGAAATTAATTGGGCCACACTAAGATAGTATACTAGAAAAAATTACGCCAGGCATGGTGGCCATGCCTCTAGTGCCCAGCTACTGGGAGCTGAGCAGGAGGATCACTTAGGCCTAGGAGTTTGAGGTTGCTGTGAGTTAGGCTGACACCATGGCACTCACTCCAGTCTGGGCAACAGGGCAAGACTCTGTCTCAAAAAAAAAAAAAAAAAAGAGATAGTGATATGTCCACAACATATATGAATATTCGAACATTAAACAAAAACTAGTAAACACACTCTTGTTCAAGAGCTAAAAGACTTAACATTGTTAATATGCTTAGGGTAAACAAAGTGAGCTAGACATTTGATGAAATCTCTAACAAAATACCTATAGAAATTTTTGCACAAGTGTTAAAATATTCTAAAATTCCTATAGAATTTCAAAGCATCAAAAAAAAAAGTAAACAATATTGGAAAAGAAAATGAAGCATCATACTTTCTGATTTCGAAACATATTACACCATATTTAGTACCGCTCATGAGTTTTCTTGTGTTCCATGCGCCATCTGTTATGGACCTTAGATGTCCACACACTGTCTTGTTCATTAGAAGCATCATAGTTTCTGATTTCAAAACATATTACACCACATTTAGTACCGCTCATGAGTTTCTTGTGTTCCGTGTGCCATCTGTTATGGACCTTAGATGTCCACGCACTGTCTTGTCCATTAGGGAGAGTAGAGGTATACTGCCAAATTTGCAAATGAAAACATCGAGAATGAAGAAAGATGACATAATATTTTCTAGAAAAGGTGATATTCTTCTCCTAGCATAGAAAGACAAATGGGTTGTCGGAATGATATCAAGGATCCATGACACTTCTCTCTCGAGAACAGGAAAAAAAAAATAGAAAAACGGGAGAGAGTATTGTAAAACCTGCCTGCACCAAGGAATACGATGCCCACACGAAAGGCGTTTGCCATGTGGATCAATTCCTGTCATGTTGTTCCATTCTAAGGAAAACGATAAAATGGACAAAAAAAGTAGTGCTGTACCTTATAAACTGTAGACTTTTCAATTCATTTAGACTGTACAACCTCCTCAATCCATAAGCAAAAATGAAGTATAAACAGTTTCTGCTATCGATGGAGAGAGACTGGATAACGATGACAATAATGAGGCTCTCCGGAACCAGAGAGGAAAATCTATCCAGCTCTTCCCCGGGAGGTGCAAGGAGAGCACCTAGTAAAAATCGACCTAAAAGGTTGTCAGGTGACATGAAGCAGCATGAACCTACGTGTATTCCAGTGAGTGGAAAGAAAAAATTTCCTACGAGTGCCTGCAGATTTTGTGCCACCCATGGAAAAAGGAGCGAATCTAGATACTTATGGAAATTTTGTTTGGGCCCTCTTCATAGAGGAAAATGTTTTACGCAGTACCATACCTTAAAAAAGTACTAGGAACTTTAATTGTTTGATTAGTTGTTTAATTATTTTTGTAAATAAAAATGTTATTGAAAAAAAAAAAACACCTAAAGGGCATTATGATCTGTAGTTATGATGATTTAAATAAATTGAAGTTGGACCTTACCTTGTATTATATACAAATGGGAATTCAAAATGGACTTTTTTTGGTAGCCTTCCTAAAAGGCATTTTGACATTTCTTTTTTAGTTTGCTACTAGTGTACAGAAATACTACTAATTTTTTATTTCATTTTGTATTCTGTAACTTTACTGATTTTTAAATAGTTCCAAAAGTTTCTTCTGTGGGGTAGTCTTTAGGTTTTTTAAAAATAGACCTAAAACAGGGACAATTTTTTCTGCAAACAGGGACAATTTACCTTCATACTTTCAATTTGAGTGACTTTAATTCTTCCTTTCTCCTTTCCAATTATTCTCACAATGACTTTCAGTACTATGTTGAATAGGAGTGGTGAAAACGGATATCCGTGTCTTGTTTTCCAAATCTCAGAGAAAGGCCCGACGCCCTGGCTGACACCTGTAAGCCTAGCACTCTGGGAGGCCAAGGCAGGAGCATTGCTTGAGGTCAGGAGTTCTAGACTAGCCTGAACAACAGCAAGGCCCCGTCTCTACTAAATACAAAAAAATTATCCCGGTGCGATGGCACGCACCTGTAGTCCCAGCTACTCAAGAGGCTGAGGCAGGAGGATCACTTAAGTGAGCCCAGGAGTTTGAGGTTTCAGTGAGCTAGGCTGATGCCATGGCATTCTACTCAGGCCAACAGAGTGAGACTCTGTCTCAAAACAAAACAAACAAAACTCACAAATCTCAGAGAAAAAGCTCTCAGTATTTCTCTATTCACCATAATGTTAACATTTTTTTGCCATATATGGCCTTTATGGTGCTGGCAGACATACCTTCCATACCTAATTTCTATAGTGTTTCGATCATACAGGAATATTGTCAAATGCTTTTTCTGCATCTAAAATAACCATAAAAAATTAAGATACCTAACAATAAACTTAATTAAAAAGGTGAACAATATCTACACTAAAAATAATAAAACATGGATCAAGAAACTGAAATACTTATGAATAAACGCGAAGTTTCCTTATGTTAATGAGCTGGAAAAATAATTTTTAAATAGTCATATTACTCAAAATGATCTACAGATTCAATGCAATGTCTATGAAAATACCAATTGCATTCTTCACAGAAATTTTTTAGAAGTCTAAAATTTATATGAAAGTAGAAAATATTTCAAATAGCCAAAGCAATCCAAAGCAAAAAGAACTATCCTAGAGGCATCATCTGACTTCAAAATTCACTTAAAAGCTAGAGTAACCAAAATAGCATGGTACTAGCATACAAAAATGGATGTATCTGAAGGATATTATGTTAAGTGAAATAAGCCAGATAGAAAAGGGCAAATGCTGTATGACTGTACTTGTTTGAAATCTTTAAAAAAAAAAAAGGGGGGGGGCTGATGTCACAAACGCAGAGAGTAAAACAATAAAAACAATAGTTACTAGAGATCAAGGAAAGGGGAGGGTGAAGAGAAATTTTTTAGCCACAAAATTGTAATTTTGGTTTTCTACTTCATACTAAGACAATGGTTAACAGTAAGATATTGTATATTAGTTTGAAATTTGAAGACCAGCTTGTGCATGATTTTACCACAAAGAACTAATAAATTAATAGAGAAATAAATACTATGATTTTATCATTATATAATTTATCTGTAAAACATCAAATTGTACCTTATAAATATGCACAATTACAATGTGTCAATTAAAAAATAGACTTAAATGTAAGACCTATAACTATTCGGTTATTAAGTATGAAATGTCCAATTTCCTTAAGTACAAAATTTGACACTTGATATCTCTAACATTTCATATTGATACTTCCCGTTTTCTTTTTATTGTGAAGGTACATCTTCAGTCTTTCAAATGCATGTTTGAGCTTGTGATTATCTTTCAAAAGAATTTTTACAGAAATTTTTGTTAAACCAAGGATAAGTCAAAAATTCATGTTATTTTCAAATATGAGTTCCATTGTGGAACCAGTGCAATGCAGAGAGCTTGAAATATCAACATAGTGTTTGGGAAGGATGTCGCTAATGAACACACAGTACACTGATGGTTTGAGGAGATCCATTCCGGTGAGTTTAATCTCGGAAATGAGACATGTGGGTGACCTGAGACCAAGGTGGATAATGATGAGCTGAAAGCTGTAGTGGAAATGAATCCATCTCAACCTATGAGTGAATTAGTAGCAAGGTTTGCAGTTACTATTCCAACAATATCAGACCATCTGAAACAAATCAGGAAGGTAAAGAAGCTGGATAGATGGGTGCTACGTGAGCTCTTTTCAAAACGGAAATTGTCTCAAAGCATGTTTTACTTGGCTGTGTAGACATAAAGGTGAATCATTTCTACACCGTAGTGTTATGTGTGATGAAACATGGGTTTGTTTTGATATTCATAAGCATTCGGTACAATGCTTGGATAAAGATGAAGTGCCAAAATGGAATGGTCATCAAAAAATGCTGATAGTGTCTATTTTAGCGGTCTAGCAGTGGTGTTCAGTAGTTCCATAACACATGGTCATTCAATTGCAGCAGATGTCTACGGCAAACAGTTGGATGACATGAGGAGGATGCTTACAATTAAGCAGCTGAGATTGGTCAACAGAGACATGCTAATCCTTTTACAAGACAATGCTCAACCACAAATCACAAACAACGTTGTTCAAACTATAGAACCTGGACTTGGAAACTCTCTGTTATCCACTGTATTCACCAGACCTTGCACCAATTGATTACTTCTT